TGTAGTAACCCAGTCTACTCCTGAGGGACTGATCGCCTTCAGCTGAATCAGAAGCTGGGGACCAGCACGTGGTGTAATGGTTACGTCACTGGATTCCCACATAGTCCGCCGCTGTTCGAGCCCCAGATCTGGGGGCTTAAAACTCACGCCAGGAGTGTGTGCATGCATGTCCAAGATTCTGAGAAATGGAGGAGAAGGGATTGCAGTGTTGCCATCCCCCCGGGGGCGATTTATCACTTTCTGTCTCTCTTTCTTTCTCCAGTGAGCACAAAAATCTCCCCACCCTCAATAAAATTTAAAAAACCAGGCTGTACCAAATGCCTGTGCAGCACCTGGGAGTGGGACCCCATGCTAGTGCTTTGGGGGCACAGACATGTCCTCCTTGAGGAGCAGCTAGCCTAGCCTAGCATACAGCTCAGGGCCCTGCAAAGGCCACAGGACAAGAGGAGGCAGTGGTTGGTTCTGCCCAGGACTAGAGATGGCAGTCTAACTTGGCCTTCAAAGGCGACCAAGAACGTGCTACTTCAGTGCTTTTGGAGGGCTGTTCACATGGAGAGACATGACCTTTCAAATGCGGGCTTAGTAAGGGGCCCTCGGAGGCTGATTTGTGAGCAAGGATATAAACATGGAGGGCAGGCCTCACAGCTCCGGGGGACAGCACCCAGGCAGAGGGACAGCCAGAGCCCAGCTGTGTGACCTTAGGGCAAGTGCTTAACCTGAGTATCTCTGTTCTTGTTCGACAGCATTCATTTCTCAAACGTTTGAGGCGCACCTGCTGCATACCAGCCACTGTGACCCCAACAGCTAGAGCTGGAATGCTAGTTCCTTCGTTTTGCTCCCAGCCCTGGGCCGAGTGCCTCCCATTTGGTATCTCATTACTTCCCACAAGTTCCATTTTAGAAAAGGAAACTGAGCTCAGAGAAGTTAAGTAACTAACCCAAGGTCGTCACAGCTAGCAGTGCCGGGGCTGAGAATCAAGCCCATGTCTAACTGGGAAAGTCCTGGTTGCCAGCGCACCCCCTCCCAGTGGGAAATAGTTGAGCACAGGTGGTGGCCCTGGGCCCTGCCCTGTGCCCATGGAGGCATTCAGCCCTCGTTGCTTCCTTCTGTCCATCCCCAACCTTCATCTTCCAGGACATCATCCCCTTCGGCAACAACCCCGTCTTCCGCTACCTCTTTGGTTGGATGGTGCCTCCCAAGATCTCACTCTTGAAGCTGACCCAGGGCGAGACCCTGCGCAAGCTGTATGAGCAGCACCACGTGGTGCAGGACATGCTGGTGCCCATGAAGTGTCTGTCACAGGCTCTGCACACCTTCCACAATGACATCCACGTGAGCAGGGGCAGGGCCGGGCAGGGAGGGCGAGCCAGGTGCGGTGCCCTGGAGTCCATGGGACTGACCTTGGGCACACCTGTCCTCTGAGTCCCAGCCTTCCCTACTGTACAGCTGAGGCCATTGTCCCTAAGCCTGCTGAGGCCTCAGCCTGCCCAGCCACAGCCCGAGAGGGAGAGGCGGTGAGGGGCCAGGTAACCAGCACTCCCGAGCTGCTGATCAGCTGCTCCTGTGTTGGACTCTGTGTCTCAGCCAGGCTGGGGGCAGGGTGCAGCTGTGAGCAGCCAGGAAAGGGTCCCTGGAGAATGCTACCAAGCCTCCCTTTGGGTGGGCATGATGGGCCAGCTGTGAGCATATCCCTGTTGGAGAAAAAGCACCAACACCTACCTGTGGATCTGCCAGGTCTACCCCATCTGGCTGTGCCCATTCATCCTGCCCAGCCAGCCGGGCCTGGTGCACCCCAAGGGGGACGAGGCCGAGCTCTACGTCGACATCGGAGCGTATGGAGAACCGCGTGTGAAACACTTCGAAGCCAGGTCCTGCATGAGGCAGTTGGAGAAGTTCGTCCGGAGCGTGCACGGGTGAGTGGCCCAGGGAGTGGGGTAGTCCTGCCGTCAAGAGCCCCAAGGCGCCACTCCAGGGAATGCACTCAGGTCTGGGTTGAGAACCGGGCGCTCTAGCCTGGGGACCCTGTAGCTGCCTGATCCTGGAGGCAAGCTGTGAGAGAAGATCAAGAGCTAGAGCTGCAGATGTTACCCACTCCTCGCACAGGGTGGGTGGCAGGCGAGGGTGGGAGGGCCAGAGGCCACCTCTCCAGATTGAAAGGCCTAAGCTAGGGAGAGAGAGGTTCACGACTGTGGAGACCACAGAGAGGCCCAGGATGAAGCACTCTCAAAAAACAGCCTGGAACAAACTACTTACGCTCCTCGATTCATGACGGGGTTACATCTCAATAAACCCTTTGTAAATCAGAAATACTATAAGTCAGAAATGCAGTTGATACTCCTATAAACCCGTCATAAAACTGAAAAAGCCTAAGTCAAACCATCCTAAGTCCAGATGCTCCTCAACTGACAGTGGAGTCACGTCCTGATAAACCCATTCTGAAGTTGAAAAGTCCCAAGTTGGGAACCATCTCTGCTCACAGATACAGGGACCGATCTCTGATTACTGTGCAGACCGAAAGAAGTCAGGAAAAAGAACGCGCTATGACCCCACTTACATAAAACTCCAGAAACAACACCTGAATCCATAGTGCCTGAAAGCAGGCCCGCAGCTGCCTGGGGAGGTGGAGGATGGAGATGACAGGACGTGAGCAGAGTGCTGGGGATCACGTCCACCACTCTGGACCATGGCAACACTCTCCTGCTTGTATATATACATCAGTTTGCCCAGTGGTATCGTTTTTTTTCCCCCAGGTTTTTTTTAATTTAATTTTATTTTATTATATTTTTTATATTGAATCACATGTATCTTTGCAGCGTATTACATTTCTTTTTCCAGCACAATTACCATGCATATCAGTCAAGACAAAGACATTACTATCCACATCATCATCAAATAGCTTTTCATCATTTTTTTCAGATTATTATTATTATTTATTTCCATTATTTTTTAAACATTCAATCACTAGCTATCATCTGGCTTGTAAAGAGAATTTACCCAACATGAAATAGTAGTGTCTCTTCTTACAGTTTTTGTCTTAAAAGTTTATTTTGTCTGATGTCAGGATCATGACCAATAGTATCCTTAAATGAACATTAATAAAAGATGACAAGGGACCAGCAGGTGGCGTGGTGGTTAAAGCGCTGGATACTCCCACATGGCCAACCACAGTTCGAGTCCCAGAACTGGTGACTTGCTTTTTCACTTTCTCTCTCTCTCTCTTTGTGTGTGTATCTCTGGTCAAACTGAAATAAATAAATGAATAAAATTTTTAAAAAAGATGACAAGGAAACAGCCCCAATCACAGGGCAGGGGTGGGGACTGAAGACCTGCTGTCTTTTATCGTGTTCCTGCTTCTGTCCCCTCCCTACCTGCAGAATGGGGCCAGGATCCTGCCACCGTCTCCTCAGCAGGTCAGTAGGGAGACTGACTAAGACGTTCTGCCCTCGTTCCCTCCCCCTCCTCCCAGCCTCTTCCCACACTGTCTCCAGCATCCATCACCATTTTCCATGCTTCTGTATCCTCTAGTCTTTCCGTTTCCTCCACAGAGTAAGTGTGAGGAAGGAAATGAAGGAGAAAGATAGAGGCAAGACATTTATGGGACACAGAAATGGATTATTATCTGTTGATGATAGCGTGTATAGCATCTCAACTGGATGGTGTGAAGAGTATTCTCTTAGCTTTACAAGCTAAGAGATGTGTAGTGATTGAATGTATAAAATACGTTAAAAGACAGCATCCGAAAATGCTCCCGAGCTGCACAGCAGGCCGCCTGGTGGGGGCAGTCCATTGCCCTCGCGGCTCTCTCCCTCCTGGCACCAGCTTCCCGGTTCCTCACGCCTTCTCTCCTTGCAGATTCCAGATGCTCTATGCCGACTGCTACATGAACCGGGAGGAGTTCTGGGAGATGTTCGATGGCTCCCTGTACCACCGGCTGCGGAAGCAGCTCGGCTGCCAGGACGCCTTCCCCGAGGTGTACGACAAGATCTGCAAGGCCGCACGGCACTGAGCCCGGCCCTCCTGGAGACGGACCCGTGTGGGCGGGCGAGCATCTCCCTCTGCCCCAGCCTGGCTGCTTTCCCGGATCACCACCACCCTTCAGAAAGAAACCCCTAGAGGACCACCCCCATCCCCGCCCCCAGCAGCCCTGGTGGCTTCCTCCTGGCTTCCGGGGCTGGCCCAGTGGAGGGAGAGAACGTGGGGTTGGAGTCGGGTAGACCTAAGTCCCATCCCCAGTGCACCCATCCATTAGGCTGTGTGACCCTCCGGGCCCCAGGCTCTTCACTCGTTGAAAGGGGATAGTACTGCTTCCCTGTGAGCTGTCATCTGAGCCAGCACCAGTCACATTCACGGTGCTGGCTCAGCAGTAGCTGTTACTGCTTCCCGATCAGCATCGCATCGGCACAACGTGCTTGGATTCCACAGTTGAGTCAGGCTCCCCCTTAGGTCACCTGTGCACAGGTGTGGCTGGAGTGATGTAGGACCTGCCACCACCTCCATCAGCCAGAGCTCTCCTCAGAAGGAGGGGGCTCCTGTCCACCCCTCTGTCTCAGGAGGGTCCCAGGCAGGGCGGGTGGGCGGGTGCAAGGTGCGCCGTGCCAAAGCCAGGTTCCCCCCAAAGCTCTCTGCATCCTTGGTGACATTCTGCCCCTTTCACCATCATGCTCTGGCCTATGGGCCCAGCTCAGCCATCACTGAGCCCACTCAGAGAGGACCATGTTCCGGGGAAGACATTCCAAGGCTCAGTCCGGTCCCAACCTGGCCTGGACTGCCCAGGTGGGGGGAATGGTCTCCACTCTAAATTGGATCCAGGAGGCTTGGGCTTATTCCTCTTGGCCTGCCAACCCTCCAGGCCCCATGTCCCCAGAATCTACCCAGTCATGGTAGGGTTGAGGGACATCACAGCCAGTGGGAAAATGCAGTTTATCATCGTTTTGTCTGTGAGGATTCTCACTGTGGGGCCAAAAGAAAAGGGCAACGGTTCGATTTCTCCAGCCGCTCATCCCCTTTTTTTCCTTTCTCTCTCTCCTCCAGCTGTGGTTAATTTCAGTGCCTTACAAATCCTAAGCTCAGAGAAAAGTTAGCTCCATTTCCGTTCCAGAGGGAAGGAGACCTCCCTGGTCCTTTCTCCCTTGTCAAAGCTTGGTTGTTTATGCAACTCCATTTTTAAGAACTGCCCAGCCTCAGCTGAAAACTCAGAATCTCTAGGAAGGGGTTGTGTCATGTAAGGGAATCTGGAGTTAAGAAGCTAAGCCGGGCATGGCTGTGACATTCCCGGTCAGGAGACCCGAGTGTCGGTCCCTGTTCTCCTGTCAGTGAGTTGTACGACTGTGGGCAAGTCATTGTCCCTCTGAGCTGCAGTCTCCTCATCTGTCACCTCAGTACAGACAAGACCTCCCCAGGCCCTCTGACTCTTACACCAAACCTCCAGGAAGCTGTGTGTGTATGGGGAAGTCAGAGGACAAAGATGATCCAGGGGACACTTGGGGATTGTCCATCACTTAAGGTCCTTCCTCCAGCCCCATGGCCAGCTCCCATCTCATTTTCAGAAAGGCTCGTCGGTGGCTTGCAGGAAAGTATCAGGCTTGTCCCTCCAGGTGCCAGACCTTAGAGTCAGCTCACCTATCCCACCCTAGTCTTGGCATGCTGCAAAATGGCTTAGCATGAACCCATGGCACCAGAAGGCAAAAGAACTACCCTGACCCATTTGGCCTCTGGAGGGAACAGAAGAAAAAAAAAAATAAAACCTCATTCAAGTTTGCAAAGCACAGGAATTCAGGCCTTCACCCCCAGCGGGCCCATGTGCTTCCTCGCTCTGTGCAAAACTGATGATCCTACTTGTAGAGGAATGGTTAACACAAGCGAAGTGAGTCCCGCAGCCAAAGTGCCATCGTGTCACCCGTGGGGCCTCTGTCCCTAGGCCACTGGGACTGTGGCCAGAGCTAGCAGCAGCTTCTGTTGCCCTGAGTCCTATAATTAAAACCCAGCCCTACACAGACTTGACCCAGAAGGGAAGATACTTTGGAATTGAACCAGCCTCAGGTTACTATCGCCCTCCAGTAATAATCTTGCCTGGAAAGAGGCAGTCTTCCAAGCGTGGAGAGTGGAGTTACCAGCGTCGTCTTTAGCCAGTCCTGTCACCGTCCCCATGGTAGTTTCAGCTGAAGTCAGTTGTGGTACCAGTGGGGGCGTGTGGGAAGTTACAAGGCCCCTCCAGAGCCCTTCCCTCTTGGCTGCATGGTTTTCTGTTAAATCAGACCTGTAGCCAGTTTGGTTGGAAGGAGGAACACCTGGATGCTATTGGCAGGGACCGGGTGGTGATGGATGTGGCAGTGGATAGTGTATTTTACTTTTTTCTTTGGTCCTGGGGACCACAGAGAAAGGCATGAGTCTCTGCTCTCAGGCTCTTGCAGCTGCAGGCATGTGCCTAGTCCTGGAACATGTGTCCCTGTGGCAGTGGGGCCACTGATGGTGTACAAATAAACGTGTGGCCTGGAAGCTAACCTTTGTCTTTTCTTACAGGGTGGGCCACAGCGTGGGTCTGGCCAGGGCGGCCCAGTTCAGTTGCCTTTTGGGACCTTGTGTGCCCAGGGATGAGGGCTGGAAAAATGTGTGTTATCATCTTGTGTGGTCTCAAGGAGGTATTAATAGGATCTCAGGACCAGCAGTTAGCGTAATGGCTATGTTGCTGGACTCCCATGTAGTCGACTATGATTTGAGTCCCAGACCCAGTGGCTTAAACTCACGCTGGGCGCGTGTGTGTACGTGCCCAAGATCCCAAGAGGAGAATGGAGAAGGGATTGTGGCGTGGTCATCCTCCCTGGGGGGTGATTTCTCGCTTTCTGTCTCTCTTTCTGGTGAGCACACATGCCATATAGCAAAAGCCTCTCCAAAAAAAAAAGTGTGTACAGAAGGGGTAAAAACCTAAGCGAGGTCTCCTGGCTCCTTTCCATTCACTGGATGCAAATGAGTAGTTGAAGTCTTGAACTGGAAGGAACCTGGATCCCTGAGTGAGGGTGAAGAGGAGAACTGTCCTTATGAGAGCGAGAAATAAGCTATTGGCTGCAGTTTTCTCTCGACATATTTGGAACTACTTGTTAAAACAGTTTAGTTCACTCTGCTACAGTTTTGAGGCTTAAATGGCCATTTCCCTAAGGCACACATGACATGAGCTCAGCCTACACTCTGAAAGGACCCCATTAGGAAATTCCTTTCCCAATTTTTCAGTGTCATGAATTGGATCTTACATGTTTTCTTTAAGGGGAGAAATCTTTAATGTTTTTTAAAACCCAGCTGTCAGTAAGACACACTTAAAGTGAAATATTGTTATCACGTGAGTTTTTGGGTAAGGCTGTGGTGCCCGGTCTCCTCTAGGGACAGGAACAGCCCACTCTTCCCATCCCATCCAGTCTCTCCCTGACCAAAAAAAAAAGCCCTCTAAGAAGGACGCTCAGGATGTTGTGCCTGATCCTCACAGACCCACCTTTGGGCTGGACTGGAAAACCCACAGCTGACTCTGGGGGTGGAGCTGATAGCTCCTAGTGGCTGGGCATGGCCTGAGGTCAGCAGTCTCCTCATAGCATGACCCTCTGAGCTTCCAAATCATCCAGGGATGGAGACGGGTGTTCCTGGGGAGTCCCAGGGGTGCAACATGTTACATGGTCTTTAATGCACAGGGAGCCACGCACTTGGCTTTAGAGTGGAAGGGGTCCCGAGAGTCAAGCACATTCCACCCCTTCAGTGTGGCCATCAGCTGTCTGGCTCCCACGTTCATGCCACTGGCTGATTTGAATTCTGAGAATAACTGAGCTCTTATAACAAAAGACCATCCGCCTGGACGTCCCCCAGACATTGTAACCAACAGGTACACAGCTCCAGTACTCCCCTCTCCGGTGTACTCCTGGGTCCTTTCTCTGAGATCCCCCTCCCTCTGTCCAACCCCCATCTTTCCACCCACAGAGTTGTCTTTCTGCCTTCGGGCCCTCCAGTCACCGCAGGCTGTCCTTCACATGTGGCCTTAAGGAGCAGGATCTGAATTGTAATCCACGGTTGGCTGGCACTTCCCCTTGGAAAACGGTGTGATCCTTTCCCTTTAAAAGAAAAAAAAAAAAAAAGTAGTCCCTTGGAAGGGAGCAGAGTCATCCCTGGAGGGGCATCCCTAAGGGATGACGGGTACCTATTGGTTGCGCCTCAGAGGAATGCCACACAGGGCACAAGGCCAACGCTGGTGACCCCTAGAGCTTCCCAACTAAAAGCCTGGTTCCGAGGAGAGGGTGACACCAGCACACTTCCTTGCATGCCGTTGGCACCCAGCGAACGTATCTCGGGCCAGTTCCATGTCTCAGTGTTAATGCATTGCTCAAGAGAAGCCAGCTTGCACATGGTGGCCGCGGTTCACATCTCCGGCCTGGTCAGCTGAAACATGCCAGGCACACATGCCAGTGCCTAAGATCTAAGGGGTTGGAGGACTGGAAAGAGAATGGCAGCATGGCCAGGCCCTGGGGAAGGTGCTTCTCTCTCTCTCTCTCTCTCTCTCTCTCTCATGTGCATGCACACGTGCTCTGTCATGAATATAGAAAAAATAGATTTTCAATAAATGTATCTCCAATCGAATCAGCTAACCTGAGAGTGGCACCTGCCCCTCTAGGGGTCAGTGAAATGTGCAGAGAGCTTTAGAGCCATCACCAGGACCAGGAGCCGCTACAGGCAACCAGTGGGAAGGCACCAGGAATGCTAGACATCCCACCACTGGGCAGAGATGGTGCTAGGAAGAAGGGGCCATCCCAGGGGCCAACAGCAGCCTGCTAAGAGATGCTGGGTTATGGGGAAGGAGAGGGAAACAGACCCTGGCCTGTGCTGTGGGCTTCATTATTCCCATTCTGCAGCTGAGAAGAGTCCTGCTTAGTAGCCCAAGGCCATACGGATAGCAAAGCAGACACTTAAAGCTGCATCTTATTTATTTATTTTTTTTTTTTTAGAGATTTTCACTGTAGGGCGCGTGCGCTCGCCAGACAGACAGAGAGAGACATAGAGACAGAAAGCGAGAAATCATCCCCCAGGGGGGATGGTCACGCCGCAATCCCTTCTCCTCCATTCTCCTCTCGGGATCTTGGGCACACACGCACACGCGCCCGGCGTGAGTTTTAAGCCACCGGGTCCGGGACATGAACCGCAGTCGACTACGTGGGAGTCCAGCGACATAGCCATTACGCTAACTGCTGGTTCCCAAGCTGCATCTTATTTTGAAGCCTGCAAACTTGTCAGTGCTTCAAACAGCTCATGTGAGGTTGAGAAGTCCAGGCTAGTATCAAAAAGGTCATCTATCGGACCACACTGAACACAGCAGAGTCCTGGGACCCACTAGGCCGTAAGTGCTGAGTAGCTGGGTGTGCCATGGGAAGGTCATTTGACTTATCCATGCCACACACCGCCCCAGGCTTCTCCCCCAATCCAGGTCCCATTTTTTAGGTCTACTGTAATGTCTCCTAAGCCCCAAGGGTTCCCTCGCTGAGCAGCTGGTAATTCAGGCTTGAGACAAAGACCAGTTGTACCTAACACAACATCTTCCAAGTGGTCCTTTCCGAAGACTTCCTCTTGTGTCAGCTGCTCTTTGATTTATAGGTATTTGTAGACAAAAGGCCAAATTCCTGCCTCAAGACTGCTATCCCACCCCTCTTGACTCATTTTACTTGATTTTACAAGCCTTCCCTCCTTGTCTCTTCCACATCCCTTCCCAGGCCCCACCGGAGCGCTCAGCCACCCCTACACTGGCCAGGCTTGTTCACCCCTCCCCACCATGCCAACTGCCTGGGATAGCCTCCACCTCTCCCTGCCACCTCCACACGGACTTGGGCATTCCTCTCTGCACTGCACACTCCTCGGTGTCTGGCTGAGCCCGGCAGGTATCTGGTGCTAAGGCAATCCCTCCCTCTGCCCCATTGGCCTGTGACCTTCTGATGGCAGGCCCCTAGCAAACACTCACTAAATTTAATAGAATTATCAACTTTTGTGTTCCCTCCAACCCCTAACCCATCCAAGGCCAGCACTTCCCCCAGTACGCAGGGTGATCACCCAGCCTGTGCAAGGAGCACGTCCTGCCACGTCACGACAGAATCTGCTTCTCCCTTGCCCAGAAATATGCTCAAGTCTCTATCCCCACCTACCTCCACCAAGAATAAACCAGGGAAGATGGAAAAGGACGGAGGGAGGGGAAAAGAAAGAGGGTGGGCAAAAGGAAGGAAACGTAAAACAGAGCCTTGTCTCCACTCTGCCTTCTCCTGGAACTAAGGCCTCTGCTGCTCTGGCACCACGTCTCTATGGCAACCACCTGAGTTCTGGGTTGTGCCATCAGACACACATAGTGGGGATTGAAGGGGGGAAGAGTCCACGTGCTGAGCTTCCTAAGGGCCTCTCTTTTCTACCAGGTGTCTTTTTTTTTAGAATCATTTTATTAAAGTTTATTTATTTGCTTATTTTAATTTGACCAGAAAAAAAGCAAAAGAGAGAGAGGGAGGGAAAGTGAGAAAGCAAGCCATGAGGTCTGGGACTTGAACTGCAGTCAGCCATGTGGGAGTCCAGCGCCCTTAATCACCATGCCACCTTCTGGTCCCTCTATTAAGTTTTTTGTTGTTGTTAACAATTCCTTATTTTTTTAATGAATTATTTAATTTTATTTATTGTTATTTTAATTTGCTATAGGACACATGTGTGAGAGAGAAAGAAAGCAAGCTGCCAGGTCCAAGACTTGAACCACAGTTGACCATGTGGGAGTCCAGTACCTTAACCACCACACCACCTGCTGGTCCCTTAACCAAGTTTTAAATCTCATGAAAGCATCACGCGCAAAGGTCCAGGAGGTAAAAAGGGATCCGCTAGGCCAGGTAGCATGAGGGCTGGAAGATGGGTTGTGGCAAAGGCCTCCTCTGTCTCAGCCTTTCTGGGTTCAAAGAACGAACTTCCCTCCTTTTCTCATCTTCCAGAAGGCTTCAAGAGAAAGAGTAGAGAGAGCATTCCGGACTTAGAGAAGCCCTGGGTCCCCCTGGCCTTCATCTCCCCACTCACACTGCCCTGCAACTGCAGGAAGGGAGGGAGCGCCTTCTTCAGGAAGCTAGGAATCGCCGCCGGACAGAACTGCCACCGTCTGCTTCTCTGCGTGGTTCTAGGAACCAGCGTGGTGCCTGGTTCAGAAAAAGTGTTCAATCCACTTTTAAAGAATGCACACACCAATGCCATCGACTAACAGTGACTTTAGGAAATGACTCTCTCTCCAAACTTTCATTGCCTCAGCCGGAAAACATTGAGAGAACACCTACCTTTGAAAGTTCCTGCATACAATAAGCATATACAAAATCACTTTGTACGTTTTAAATACATTCAAGAGAATAAGAATTTATCACTACTATTACAGAGAATGGCCATTTATGATTGCAGTTTCCAATTTCTGGACAAGAAATGTGGCATTCGTTTAAAATGCTAGAAAGGCAATATTGCAAGCTGAAGTATT